ACCGCTCTTTTCTCCTCCATGCAGACACCCGTTTCCATCCTTCCTGCTCCCTGATTTCCAGCCTGTCGTTTATCCCCCACCCAAACAACCCAGGTCTTTCCTAGCCAGCCAGAACTTGCCGCCAAGCCCTCTAGCCCCTTGCAATCCCTGTCCCCGACATTCCCCAAGCGCTGAAGTAGCACGCCCCAAACAGTCCAGCAGTTGTCATACTCCGAACCAGTCAACCTCCTCTCCTGTCCAGTCACCCAGCTCGTTTCCACCTTCGCCTTGTTCTTAGAGTCTATTTATGTTTGTGTTTGTTATTCTTCTAATGTTTGAGGAGTCCCGTTGTAACCCTTTGAATTTGAGTAACAATATTTGTGTTTTTGTTGTGATTTGGGCTCTCCAATATCAAAGAGGAAAGATCAGAATTATTAAGGCTTTTATGAAAAAAAAAATTAGACATACATGACTTCTTGGGAGGGGGTCTAATAGTTCTACAAAGCCAAGCCAATAAGGTGATCCTTGTGTCCATTTAACACAACATTATCCATCTCCTAACTATCAAATCCCGCATTATCACTACCCTTCTGAAGACTTACCAAATTGCTAACAATTTGTCTGGTGGTGGCAACATGCTGCTACATGAGCGAAAAGGCAGTTCTATAATGCTCTCATAATCATCTAAGTGCTAGTAGGTGTCGCTGCGACTATGTAATGGAGGCAATGATAATCATAAATGCCCGCATTGTTTCCTTATAGAGTATCCCACCACCATTATCCCTCCCTTCACCAGCTTGGGGTCATTTTATGGGGTTAGGGAGATCAACGAACCTTGTTAGTGCCCTCTTGCCCACCCCTTTGTCTTCGACAATAGAAACACCATCTCAACATTTTCTTTCAAATCTACAACATCGCATCACATCTAATCACAATTCCACAGAATACAAGGCTTCCAAGCCCCATAATCATCAAGTAGCTATTATGACCCTTAGCATTTAGGAGAAGTAAAGAATTAAAATGTTCGTCTTGAGGAAACCAATATCAATGCATGCTAGTTCACACAGCTAAATTACGGCATGGGTTAATCATTGTCATCCAATATACCTCCGGAGATGCTCATTGATCATGAATCAAGACTGCATGTTACTTTTTTACTAATGGAACCCTGTAAAATAAGGGGCCGACAGATAATCAACCACTCATACATGCTCATCAAAGGCAACATTATGCATTCCCTATGTCTATTGAATCAGAACATGCGGTCTTCTCAAAATGAAAAAAGACAACATCAATCAATTTACTTTGAAGGCTGGTGTAGCAAGTGACTGCCAGATTCGCATCACCACAGACCCTATCCTAAATGCCAAGCTCATCCCAATCCATGACTACATCAGTGTCTGAGTCGGTTATTTCTCATTTTGTTTCATTCTAATTATCATGTAAGTTACATTTACAGCAGATTGCTGCTAAAGATTTATAAGCCTGGGTGTTACTTTCTTCATGCCCAACCTTGAACAAGGGTTAGATGGTTTCGAACATCCCCCGCCCATCTTTGCAGTCAATCTGAGGGCTTACAAGCTCAGTTGTTGAATTGAGAGTCATATGCTTCTCTTGGGCTCTTCATGGCCAAAGGGTTGACATATTATTTTAACTCCATCTTTGAATTTTTAAAAGTGTTGACCAGAGAACATCATGCAATCCACCGGAATTAGAAAGCCTTAATGACAAAATAAATTTAATGATGTTCATGAACATGAAATTCGGTTTGAGCAAGCACCACTGTTCTGCTTCCATTCTATATTATTGTTTTGTTTCGAGGATTATCATCTTTTTTTTTAACAATCTTATTACTTTTTAAAAAGAGAATTATGCTTTAAAAATTATCATGTACAATTTGAAACAGTGATTTGTGCAGACTTTCCTACCCTGCACGATTCACGGGCTTGCTATTTACTGAAAGAATGTCTTATTTAGTGATGAGCTCACTCGCAAAAATATCAAAGTGCTTACGCAAAATGCGTGTATTTCAAAGCCTATTGATGAAATCTGATGGTGCTACAACAGTTCAAACATTCAAACCACAAAGAAATATTTGTCAGTATGTATCATACGAGCAGCAGCGAACAAAAATGCATAAAACTTGCCCACGGAACTGAAAGAACATGAGCAAACGCATCTACAAAATTATATCTACAACAGTAGGAGCTGACCTCTTCGTCCCCAAGCAGTTGAGATCGATCTCGACCGAAAATTCGGTCTCTGAATTGAGCGATAGTGTCGCCAGTTAGTGCGAGAGATGCAGCAATGGCCGCCTGCTTCACAGGGAAGTCGAGTAGCGGCCACCCCTTCTCTTCGCGGAGGTTGATCGAGTCGGATGAAGAAGACTTGTACTTCCTCCTGCGCTTGCCGTGGTGACCGCTCCCATTACCCGCCAGGAAACTCCACCAGAAACCTCCGTTACCGAGGGCATCCATACACGAAGAAGAACGTAAAACGAGAATCAAGAACAGCAGCGGTGAGCGGCGGCAGAGTGCAACGCTTGGATCGGCTAGTTGTGGCTCTTCAGATCCCGGATGGATATTT